ATTATAGATTCGAATTGATTAGAAAACACAAATAGAAACATGTGTTTCTGTACAACAAAAATCGGAAGTAAAGTGAACAGTTAATTGACAGAAATATGTGGTCAAATATGTTTTAACAAGAAAATAATTATTTCAGAGAAAGACGCAAAGATCAGTATGACCCCGTATTGTGTAATTAGAAAGTTTATTCAATTCTAGGGCATACATCATAATTTGATAGTCCATGTGTAATATGGGTATTATGAGATACATAAACAAGAGGGCCATGATGGCCCTGAGGTCGCTCACCTGTACATAGGCCCCCCAACATCTCCCCCAACGTTGCAGGGCCAATTAAACACAAGGGCTTTTATTTACACAAACTTGGAAGACACCCATAAGAAGATGTTTCATGCTAATCATCTAAGCTCTAGCTCATTGGGCTTTTTAAAAGAAGATTTTTTTAAAAGTTTTTACTATATACATACATATATTTAAAAACAATGACACCCCTGGGGCCGGGCCAGTTTTGACCCCAGGGCTTTTATTTGAACAAACTTTGTAGACACTTACTAGAAGATGTTTCATGCTTAATATCTAAACTCTAGCTATTTGGGTTTTTTCAAAGAAGATTTTAAGTTTTTGCTATGCACATATAAAGAAAATCAATGACTCCCGGGGCGGGGCCAATTTTGACCCCAGGTCTTTTATTTGAACAAACTTTGTAGACACTCACTCAAAGATGTTTCATGCTTAATATCTTAACTCTAGCTATTTGGGTTTTTTCAAAGAAGATTTTTTAAGTTTTTGCTATACACATATATGGAAAAATCAATGACCCCAGGGGCGGTGCCAATTTTGACCCCAGGGCTTTTATTTGAACAAACTTGGTAGACACTTATTAGAACATGTTTCATGCTAAATATCTTAGCTCTAACTCTTTTGGTTCTTTAAAAGAAGATTTTTTAAGTTTTTACTATATGCATATAGGGAAAATCAATGACCCCCTGGGGCGGGGCCAATTTTGACCCCAGGGCTTTTATTTGAACAAACTTGGTAGACACCTATTAGAACATGTTTGATGCTCAATATCTTAGCCATAGCTCTTTGAGTTATTTAAAAGAAGATTTTTTAAGTTTTTACTATATGCATATAGGGAAAATCAATGACCCCCCGGGGCGGGGCCAATTTTGACCCCAGGGCTTTTATTTGAACAAACTTGGTAGACACCCATTAGAACATGTTTCATGCTAAAAATCTTAGCTCTAGCTCTTTGGGTCTTTTAAAAGAAGATTTTTAAGTGTTTACTATAAGCATATAGGGAAAATCAATGACCCCCCGGGGCGGGGCCAATTTTGACCCCAGGGCTTTTATTTGAACAAACTTGGTAGACACCCATTAGAAGATGTTTCATGCCAAATATCTAAGCTCTAGCTCTTATGGTTTTTTAAAAGAAGATATTTAAAGTTTTTTCTTTCGGTTGCCATGGCAACCAGAGTTCTGCATGGAATTAAATTCTTTGAACAATTTCTAAAGGTGATCACCAAAGGAACATTCCTGTGAAGTTTGGATGAAATTGGCTCAGTGGTTTATGAGGAGATGTCATTTAAAGTAAAAGTTTACGAACGACGGACGACGGACGGACGACGGACGGACGGACGGACGCCGGACGAAAAGCGATCACAAATGCTCACCCCGTCACTTTGTGACAGGTGAGCTAAAAATATTAAAGAATAAGAAGCTTTAATTAAAAAACAAAAACAAAAAAAAACAACAAAAAACCGCATACATATACAAATTACTTACAGTCGAGCATCGGGAAGTCATTAACATATCTTACGAAACTTTAATTTGAAAACGATATTTGCGCGCGCTGAAGTGATTAATGTTTATTTGAAAAAAAAAAAAAAAAAGAACTTATATGTTTGTGTTCTAAAAATAATCGGCGGCATAGAATGAATTTCTTATTCATTTTACAACACTTGAAAAATTACTACAGAAAATGTGTTGTTGTTTTTTTGTTTTGTTTTCAACCAAAGTGTGTGTGTTTTAAGTTTGTTTATACTCGGCGCCGGAATAACCATATGTCCGAGATTATAGCATCTGGGACGTCTTTTTCAAGCAGATTCTTCCTGGAAGCCCATTATTCGTTCTTTGGTGGTAAAGGAGACGACAATACCGTCAAGGCATCAACTTTCTGACTGACGACAATAAAAACGGCATCTATTAGCGCCAAACCTCCAGAGTAAGTCACGACAGGTCAACCAATCACCTCTGGTACTTATGCTGACTTGACTATGACCTTCCGTGTGCCTTCTCCGCGACGTGCACGCCTCTGGAGGGATTTGGAGAAGTTTCAACAAAAACTTCCAAAACACGCCATTTATAACACCATTCATAGCACTGACGGCTTCGATGTTCTCATCTATTTGCGGGAAATGGTCGACAGGGAAAACCCTACGTAATAACCGCACACCCTGTTAACAACAGATTTTCCGCAGTATATATTTCAAGCTAGTGAGGTTTAAAAATACACGTAGAATCTATCGATTAACTACCATAAGTTGGTTGAGTGTTGGCGGTAAAAAAAGAAGATATATAACTTCCTGATCAATTTTCACTTAGGTTGATTCAGTTTTGAATAAGCTTTGCAGATATGTATTTTTTCAAGAAATATTTAGCTTTAATATTATCCGACGCCGTCAGTAATGAAATGGGAATAATTTTCTGAAACGTGATTTTATTCGAGATTTGCTTCTGGAGAAGACAACCTTCTGTCCGTAGAGCATGAATATTAATACTCATCACAAAACAGTATCTTATTGATATCAATTATGGTACATCTAAACGTGTATAATTTTTATGTTCAATAAAAATGTTGCATCACTTGCAGTTGTTATTATCATTCAATAATATTAAAATGACATAAAGTATTTATGATGAACAGTCCTAGAATATTTTGATAAGGAACCGTCAGTTGTAAAATGTTATTGTTATCTGATAATGAACAGTCGTCATGCTTGCTGGTATGTCATTTATTATTGACAGTTTAGGTTTTTCAAAATTTGCATGATTAACAGTTCGAATGTAGACCTCAATGAAATGTTCTGGAATATTAACAAAATGAATAGTCAACCACATTAACCATATATATGAATGGTTGAACACAGCAGTAAGGATAAATAGCGCAATGTGCATATCTTTTTATTTTGGTAGCATATTTTAAGCAAAAAGAAAAGAAACTATAAGTCTGAAACATTCTCTCATAGCCTCCCCATCAGTACATTCAGTGCTTTGATTTTTCTAGTGGCGATGTTTCAATTCAATTTTTTAATACTATATAGTACACACGTATAGAGAATGTGCGCTCTATTGTGTGCACATTATACATGCATAGCAGCATAATACACCGAAAGTTCTCGTGTATTTATACTTTAGCACTGTATGAACGTTTATTTTCTCCCAATTTATATCATATATGCATGGTTATTTCTTATCTGCCTTTCGTTTAGATAAGCTAAACATTTAAATAGTAAGTTTTTAGTTAGTTGATCGAGGAAATTTACTGCAATAAAATCACATTGTTTAAATAATAAACATTAACGAAAAATTAAAATTGTCCTATAATACTACTTAAACATGTTAGTCAGCAGCTAATCACCTTAAACATTGACGACATAAAGTGTTAACGTAATGCCATGTGATTTGCAGTTATAAACACATAAAAATTCGTTCCTTGATTTAACAAATCAATATATTAATAATTAGGTAAACTGTCATTTAAACATAGAATCTTTCTAAGTGAAAGAAATGTGTATGCAACATACCATTGTTTCATAACTTCCTGTGAAAATACGTGTAAGAAACAATTAAAAAGATTTTTGTGACGTACTCAATAAAATGTTAAGACGTTAAGCTAATTAGTATTCTTTTCTCTATTTTTGTTTGTTGAAAAAAAAAGAGATGAAAATAAGTTGCAACACTATACATATTTACTGGTAAGCGCTCGCTATCCACATAGATATAATTCTATTTTAATCCCCCGTATATCGCTCAAGTTATTGCAGTATAAGTATAGATTAAACGATGAAAAAATAACGTTTTATATTAAATGACTATTTTTAAGAATAATAAAAAAATTATAGATTTTTTTTGTGCGAATTGTTCACTGTTCGTGTTTCAGTCATTCTTTGATTTGATACAGACAAAGTGTGCATCCATCATAATTATTGTGACACTGAAATTATTCAATAACATCTAACAAATGTTTATACATTGTAATTCAGACGTGTTTGTATTGTAAAATTTGATATAACTGATAACACGTCATAAATATTGCTATCCTACTTTTTCACCCCTTAAAAGATATACTAAGAGATTAAAATATCTGTAGATTAAAAGCTTCATGAATATCTGTTTTGCAAAAGTTCATAATTGGCTGTACTTCTGCTTCAAATCGAATAAACAAGATATTTAAATATTATTTATTCTGATTATTTTAATTTTATTTTGACAGACTTGAGTGCAGTCTTAATTGATACAATAACGACGTGTGATGGCGGACAAAAAAGTACCAGATATCATAAGTAAAAGCATACATGTTCAATTTATATTCAAATTACATGAAATCTTTTATTTGCTGTAGAAGTAGAATTTTCACATGTAACAAAAGTCTAAAGACTTTGGCAATGATAAGCTATGCTTCTTTCTAACTATTTGATAATGAAATATTTCCTACACGTAAAAATAAAACTTTTACAAGATAATCAAATGAGATATTACAATGATGACTTGTGTATGGCTTTCATTTAGAACGACGATTGTAAACAGGCACTAGCATATATATTAATAGAGAAAAATACCTAAGAAGTACGATGCTTAATCCCAGAAGCCTTACTCTGTCTTTTTTTTAAAAGAAATAAATAAATAGAATATATTTCATTTTAATTATTGTATTTAAATTGCACATGATAATTATTTAACAATCACTAGAAATAACATATTTTAAACTTGTTTATGCTAGGTGCAAAAATGCTGAGAAATCATTTTAATTGCATGCATACGGGTATGTTATTATACGAAGAGAAAGAGAAAAAATGGCTTGTTTGGCAAAAGACAACATGTAAGTTTGATATTGCTTTGTCTCTTATATATAACAATTTCTTAATAACAGTATAAGATAACAGGGACTGTAATTGTTGTTAATAGATAATCAGCATCCATAATCTCATACAGAAATACAAAGTTTTAAACGTTTAATCATACTTTTACAGTTTCAACATAGCCCTCCTTAGGTATACCTTTCTAGGTGGATGACCAAAGTCCATTTCCATTTCTACTCTTGTAGCCTCGGCCCGTAAAATTCCTTTTGCAGTCTAAAAAAAAGAGGTAAAAGTCACAGGGTGAAAAGTCTTTAGAAGATTTATGTTTAACGGCTCATTTGTATACGTTGTCCTACAGAAAATACAGGCCTTTCATATCAAACGAAGCATGCACTTTATTGAAGTGTTTTCAAGTTTTCACACGACATCTCTATAATACTTGGAAGTGACGAAACCACCTCTAGTAACAGGAAATATGCAACAGTTTCAGAGGTATTGAGCAAAAAACGTACACAAAATTCTTGACACTTGTCAATCGCTTGGAAATTTATGGATGATAAACATTTTTCGTGGCCAAATCTTATTGTAACACTTGCAAACTGGCGTAAAATAGTGAACCAGTGTTCATGACCAATCAAATTATTAAAAAATCGGTGTGCCATATCGAAATAGAGAAAAACAGACTTCCTCAATATACCTCAACACGGCGGCAAAATTGAAAATGCTGCAGGCTCGGTTTAATTTAGTCTGTCCATGTTCACCACCGGCATAAGCAGAATGCAACATATAACATGAACTGTTGAATTTTGAAACATTCGCAGGTGTTCATATGGCGGTTATCATAGAACTTTCAATGTGATCATGAAAACACATGCAACATATCCTAAGGGTGATTAAACAGTATTAAGGAGTGGATTACCGGAACCACCCTACCAGAAATACACCAAATGGGAAATAACTTAAAGTACCAAAAACATGAACTCAACAATAATGTCGTGCTGAACGATTTTCAAGGATCGAAAACAATCATATATCATCTTTAATTAAATGTACGCGGAGAAATTTTACAGCCGATAAAATAGGCAACATTTTCAGTAATATTTGAGCGCTTTTAATTCGCTCCCTGTTTTGGTCAGATGTTTGCTGATAGGATACAAACTGGCAGTTATTTTCTTAACTTTCAAGTGATTCTTCAGAATGGTATGAGCCGGCCCTTTTGATATTCATATGATATGAGGTGAACATCTGGCATCTTAATTGACTTTATGAATGTAAAGTAAAGTGTAGTAAAGTGTAGAGCAGTGAAAAATGTGGTCCCAACAAACTATTATTTTGACGAAAATTGGATTACTATAGTTTAATAATAATTTTCATAACAGTAAAACGTGTTTTTAACAGAAAATAGTTTAGGCATATTTGGAAGTAGTTATTTTATAGAATAGTGGAGAGATTAATTGTTAAACTTTTAAACCCATTGCATACCGGTATGTAGTGTATAAAATTGGGTAGTGTACATGTATACTAGATGTTAACAGGTGTAAAACAAACTGACCATGACATAACTGGATTCTTTTATTAAATGTTACAACAAGCTGTGCTTTTAAATAATGACTTGTTATTGTTAACACACTTGACAATGGGTGTAGACTTATTGGTGTATCGTGCACGCATTGGACTGTTTATAGCATCATGCAAAGCAAAGGAAAATTTGGTCGTTAAAAGAGCCACACTTAAGAAGTCTTGCTATGAATGTATACATGTTACTTCTGTTAACTTCTTTATATGTAATCCGTTATGGACATGCTTTCATAATCCAAAAATATGCTGAACCATATACACCTGTGTATAGTGGTCATTCATTCCATAATAACTAGCATTACCATGATATGTCAATTACTATGTCAGAAGAGCAGTTTATCGCATATTCACAAAGACCCAGGACCATCAGAGTATACCCAATTTATTCTACAAGCTATAACAGAAATGAAACATGACATAGACCAAGCCAGAAATGAAATTTGTTAAGTTAAAACTGAAGTGATAGGCATTAAAGTTGAACTACAAAATATGGAAGAAGAAATTAAATCTGTGAGATGTTGATGATATTTACGTGCAACAAACTGTTTGTGATGACAAATTGCAGAAACTACAGAAAGACTTTGACTGTCTAAAGGGAAATTTTGAAGTTTTGAATAATGATATGGTTTGTTCAGCAACTCGGGATGAAAATGATTGTGACCAGTTAAATAACATAGAGAGACAATTGAATATTGTTGAAAAGGAGAGACTTAGAGGGTCATTGAAAGTATTTGGTTTAGCAGAAATAGAAACAAATCTAGAAATCTAAAATCACTCGTCAGGAGCAGGTGTAAGGTTTAGCTGTTTCTGAGGGAATAAATGCAGATACTTTGTGGAAGCTCATCGAGTTGGAAAGTCCATTGATAATCAGCCTAGACTTGTGATTGTAAAATTAAAAATCTTGGATGTATGCTCTTTCAATATAGAGGAGTTCTTCGATCACGTGGTATACGAATTTCAAATATCATTTCATACCTATATCGTCAGCAACTGAAGGATCTGAACAACAGGGGATTAAATGGATACGTTCAAGGTGGTAAACGTGTATCATTTCCAAAAAAAAAAACATGGTCAAGAAGGAATAAATTCACGAGTAGTCAGGCATGGTGCACAGCCTAATCGATCGATTGATACCAGTAATATATATGAGACTATGGAGTCGACATCCTGTATTGATATGCTTGACCTGAGGAATAACCCAACTCAACTAAACAATGAATAGGGATGTGGCCAAAGACCCTGCAAATCAAGATCGTTAAAATTTATTACGTTGAATAATGAAGGCCTTCGTGATAAACTACAATTAAACGCGTTGATTAATCTCTTTAAATGTTATGATTTTATCAGTCTACAAGAAACTTGGATCACTAATTCTAATGATATTACGAGTTTTTATGCCACCACAGCATCTGCGATGCGGTGGCATATAGCGATTCACCTGTTGAAAATTTCTGTTCCTACACTATTATTTAGTGTTGTATTAATGCGGTAGCATAGCATTTTCTCAAATGCAATCTTGTTTCACTCTTAAAATGTTTTAGTTGTAATGCAAAATTTAGAGGGTGGTGTTACAGTATTAGTGTATAATGAAGTTAATCAGTTTGTAACAAGAATTTGCCATGACTTTTTATTTGGTATTGTATTAGTTATTGATAAATCATTATTGAACCTTGAAAAAGACCTACTGTATATATCTGTATATTTTCCTCCTGATGGTTCTTAATATAATGACATCGTTAAATTGAAAGCCTTTGAATGTCTAGAAAATTTTCTTATTGAAAATAATCTGAATAACTTTGAATTGATATTAAATGGAGATTTGAACTCACGGACTGGAAATGAAAATGGTTTTCTTGAAAGTACAAGGAATATACTAGCACTTTCAGAATTAAATGATATTTTAAACGATTTCCTAGACATACAGTGATATTCATCAGATAAAGTTGTACGAGGGATGTTCGAAATGTATTGCTTATTTCTATCTTAAGACTTCAAATTTCAAGTTAGCTCAAAAGTGTTCATTTCATGTCCTCGAAGTACTCCCCGTGGCTAGAAATGCAAAGTTTCAGCCGGTGTATGCACTTCTTGAAGGCGTCACGGTACGCTGATTTTGGCACAGTAATAAGGTACTGATGAATGGCAGATCCAAGTGCCTTTCGGGACTTGTATTTCCGCCAAGCAAGGAAGGACTTCAATTTCGGGAACAAAATAAATCACACGAGGCAAGGTCTGGAGAATACGGGGGGGGGGGGGGATAAGGCAAAACAGTTACTTTTTCTTTATTTTTCAAAAACGCCGAAACTATTGAGCGTGTGAGCGGGACATTGTCGTGTAGAAGACGGATATGCTTAAAACCAGTGTCAGGGCGTCGTTTCTTATAATACTTTTTATACGCCCGTTTGAAAAACGGGACGTATTATGGGATGGTCAAGGTCACACATAGAGGTCAAAGTTTAGATAAAAATATGAAGAGGTGTATAGGGACGATTTAATCATCATTTATTGAGGGATTGTAACACAAATGGTCATTATCATGACTACGGCTGTGACACATGTACTTTAGGTCAATATATGCAAGGTCAAGGTCACTAAAGATGGTGAAATATCCAGATTTTGTCTGGAGCATATCTCCTACATGTATGGAAGAATTTTTATAATACTTCATGTACTTTATGGAAATGTTCACCCCCATGATATGTATTGCTCCATGCATGATCCAGGTCTCCAGGTCAAAGGTCAAGGTCACACTTAGAGCTCATTGAAAAACGCTTGTCCGGAGCAAAACTTCTACATTCATAGGGGGATTTCAATATTACTTGGCACAAATGTTCACCATTGTGAGGCTGAGTGTCCCACGCAAAATTCAGATCCCTGCGACCAAAGTCAAGGTTACACATAGAGGTCAAAGTTCAGATAAAAATTTGAAGATGTGTATAGGGACCATTTAGTCATCATTTATTGATGGATTGTAGCACAAATGGTAACTATCATGACCACATGTGTGACACATTTAATTTAGGTTAATATTTGCAAGGTCAAGGTCACTGGAGATGATTAAATATCCAGATGTTGTCCTGAGCATATTTTCTACATGCATGGAGGAATTTTAATGTTATTTATAGAATTGTTCACCACCATGAGACGTAGTGCCCTGCACATGAACAAAGTCTCTAGGTCAAAGGTGAAGGTCACAGTTAGAGCTCATAGAAAAACGCTTGTCTGTAGGAAAACTTCTACATGTATAGAGGGATTTCAATATAATTTGGCACAAATGTTCATCATTGTGAGGCTGAGTGCCGTGCATAAAATTCAGGTCCCTGCGACTAAGGTCAAGGTCACACATCCTGTGCATATCTTCCCTACTGATTTGTTTTAAGGTTCATTTAACAACACAGTGCCAAGAGTAAAAAAACTTGCTTGCTAGATAACACTTATCCATAAT